AAGAATAAAAAATTATTAATATTAATCAATTTTTTTCGAAATAAATTTAAAATTGATAAAAATTTTTTAATTTTGTTTCTTTATTTTACATTTTAATTTTTTACAGAATATAATAAATATATTTTAAATTTTTTTTTTTTAGTTATTTTTTTTTCTCAAAAAATTAAATTCATATTTTTTTGAATATTAAATAAATATAAAATTTAAAAAATATTCAATTTTAACTTTCTCATTTTTGAACATTCAAAATTTTTCTATTTATTCAAAATTTTTTTTAAAAGATATTTAATATAATGACAATAGTTTTTACAATTTCTTTTAAAGAAGGTTAAAATATTTTATATTTCTTATAAATATGGCTTTATATTGGGAAAAAATTTTTTTTTTTAAAAAAATAAAGTTTATTTAAATTAAAATATTTTTTAAATTTAATTTTTTAATAACAGGTGAAAATTCATATTAAATCATTAATGATAAATTTATAATATATATTTTTTAAAATTTATTTAAAATTTTAAGTTAAAATCAAATTTTTTTTTTGTACAATTTTACACAAAAAAATTTTTTAAAATTTTTTATTTATATTATTTTAAAATTTGAATTTAAAATTTAGAAAAAAAAAATGGAAATTTTTAAATTAATATAAAATATTTTTTGGGAAAATAATATTAATAATTTTAAACTAAAAATAAAATTTGACAATAAACCAGAAATGATGATTTAAATACGAAATCTAAATCCTTACGCAAAATTTCATTTTTTATTAAACTTTAAATATAAGAAATTTTTTTCGTAAATGTTTTAAAATATTTTAAAAAATCATAAATTTACAAAAAAATTTTAATATTCCAAAAATAATTCAAAAATAATAAATTTTAAAAAATCTTTTGGAAAATTTTCCTTTTATTCTTTTATAGAAACAAAAGAAACAAATATTAAAAAAAACAAAAGTTAAAAAAATTTCATCTTTTATTTTGTTTTATATAATTCTTATATTATTGTGAAAAAAATAAAAATTTATTTTTTTTTATTTAAAATCTCTTGATATTTTCAAATATTAATCCAAAAGTTAATTAAAATGATATTTTGTTAAATCTTCATTTTGATAAAAAAAAATAAAATATTTAGTAAAAATGTATTGAGAAAATTTAATATGCCAAAAAAATATGTTTGATATTTATTAATAGAAAATAAAATAAAAAAATAAACAAATGTAAATATTCACAAAACTAATTTTTTTCTTTTTAAATTTTTGAAAAATCAATGAAACATAATCTAAAAATATTTATGACTTTGAAAAAATATTTTTAAATAAATTTCAAAGACATTGATTGCAAACAAATTTAAAATTAAAGATTAAAAGTTCCAAGATAATAAAATGAAATTACAATTTAAAAAATGTTTTTTAATTTTATTGATTCCGGAGATCTGGTCTGAAAAATAAAGTGAAATTTATAAAAATATATATTAAAGAAAAAAAATATCTTAAAAAAACTGAATATGGATAGAAATTTCTTATAAATGCCTCTTTACAATATTTAAAATTTTGAGTGAATCTTTTTCAAAGAAAAAATTTGACATAAATCATGAAACATCTTAAAAATTGAAAATTCAACAATTCCAAATGCTTAATATGAAGAAATTAGCAAAAATAATTCAAATATTTAAAACCAAATTAAATAAACCAGTCTTAATATAATATAGTGAATAATCAAAAGAACGTTCAATCAAAAATGGACTTAATAATGTTATAAATATTTCTATTCAAAAGATAAAAATTTAATCAAATAAGTATTTTAAAAATGAATGCTGGATTTAAAAATAAAACTGGAATGAGACAAAAAAAAATTCAATAGAAAAAAAAAGAAAACTGTTATTTACTGAAATTTAATTTAATTGAAGTTTTCTATATGGCATTGAATGCTGGACAATCTCATCACAGATTTAAAGTTGGATTACTTTAAATTTCAAAATTGAAAATATTTATTGAAATGTCAATAAAATATCAGTCCTCCTATATCAAAATGCTGGTTAAATATCTTCATAGATGAAGAAAGAAATTTGAAACAAGATCTTTTTATTTTATTTTTTAATAATTCAGTCCTTTATTTAATATGCATTGAATTGTCAAAAATATCATTTATAGAAAATGGATATATATTTATTTAAAAAAAAAAATAAAAAAAAAAAATGAAATTTATGTAATATCAGTCCTCTATAAAATTTTTTGGACAAAATTCCTTACATTAATTTTATTTTAAAATTATGTCAACATAAAAAAAAAAGTTCCTTAAAAATAATTTTTTTAAAAAATAATAAAAACTTCATGGCATTGTTTTGATCTGTTGAATCTTCAAGAACAGATGAAAAAAAGATTTACATCCACCTTTAAACAAAGAAAATAATTATTCAGAACTTTTTTAGAAATGAAAGAAATAATAAAAATTTTCATGAACAATGTAAAATGATTACATATATATTAACTAAAATATTTTTTTATATAATTTTACATTATCGACCATAAATTTGAAGATTATTTTTCTAATAGTTTTATCCTGAAAAAAAAAAAGATTAAGAAACCAATCAAATTGAATTTAATTTATTCGTTCAAAATTCTGTACAACACCTATATGAAAAAGTTTTTTGTGATTTATTGAATTTTAGCTTGGATGTAATATAATGAAAATTCATTGGAAAAAATAACCCCCCAATTTTATTCGAATGAATTGTTTTTGAATGATTGAGTTCATACAATTATATGTTTTTAACAATTTTAAAACAAAAAAAAACCCATAACAAGTCAAAAATTTTTTTTTTTTAAAAAATAAATAAAATTGTTGATAGGCCGAAATTAATTTTTTTAACCAATTTAACCCAATTCTGTTTAATGATTTTTGAAATGAAATGTTTAAATAGGTAATAAATTTTGTTATTGGGACCTTACCCATAATAACATAATGGACTATTCCATACGTAATAAATACTGCGCCTCAAGAGGAAGCAGGGAGTTGAAAGTTCAGCCCGAAGTCGGGCGACCGGCTGACCGGCTGATCGGTTGAACTCTCTGCCTTCGGGGGGAGGAACCTGAACGAGGCTACGCCGAAGGGCGGAGTCTCTTTGGGGAGGTAAACCGACCCTGAACCCGTTTATACGGGTTCAAAGGGCATATTTTTTTGGCTGAGCCCACAATACCTTGGAGATCCCACGTTAAACCGGCCTTGTGCCACATGATGCCCTCGTGGGGTGGGGGGTGACTAAATACTGTTCAGTCTGAAGTCTGGAGTGAGACGTCCAGTCAGAAGTCTGTCAGTCAGTCAGAGCGAGCGAGTCAGTCAGTCGAGTCAGTCAGAGGCAGTCCGAAACAGAGTCGCGTTCAGACAATTAGTCAAGACATTGGAATAGTGATACTGGTCGAGACTACATTGTTCTCCCTACTAAACCTGATTGTTCGTACTAACACTTTCTACTTCTCTGTATATATTCCTGTTTGTAATATATCTGTGTTATTCCATATCCGTGTTCGAGTTCTTCTTTATTGGTTCTACCTTGGACTATCACCGTGGTACAAGGAACCGGGCCATAACAGTTATTTTTTTTAATAAATTCTGACTGTCAGGTCACATTGTCTTGTCCATTTCAATTCGATTTTAAATGTAGGGATTAAGTGTTTTTTTTTTTGTTTTTTTTTTGTTTTGTTTTTTTAGATAATAATCGAAAGACTTAATTATTCAATTAATCGAAAAGTTAATCCTGATAATGTTGAATTATTTATCCTATTAACAAAATCACAATACCAACCACAAAAGCAATATAAGCCAGTAACAATATGGCTACTACTACTTCTACTACTACTATTATTAATAATAATGATACTTTGTTAAAACCAAAGAAAAATAAACTACTCTGAATAGAGGAGTGACATTGCCAAAAGCCGTGAAGGCGGCAATTCCATCCCCCACGGCACGAAAACTATTTCCTTGTTAATATCCTGTTTACAGCAGTATGGAGTGCATTTTGCCCGAAGTGGAATTAATTTTGCTGAGAAGCCAAATCAGAAATTCGTGTTTCGACAGAAAGATTTTCCCAAGCCTTGCACTGAATCGACATTTGCTAGTGGAGCTGATATCAGTCAGGCAGAATATATTTAAACACATCGCATCGGCTCAGAGCAAGTCTATCTCACAAGCAATGAGTTCTTTGATGTTTACAGCGCCGCGCTGTGAAATAAAATTTCCTTGACTGGTAATAGGGTGGGGTCCAACATATCAAGTGTTGATGAGTTATTTACAGTCGAAATCTACAGTTAGACATAGGTCGTGTTGATACTTGTGTAAATACGTAAACAGTGATCGATTTTATACTTGAGTCTATCGATATAGTTTGGGTTTATACTTGAGACATATGATATATTTATACAACAGTCTATAAGTAGACATAGGTCACGTTTATATTTTATTCCATATGTAAGCACAGGTCGGATCTGTACTTGACTCCATACATAGACATGTGTCGGATTTATACCCGAGTCTATAGGTCGACAGAGGGGTACTTATTCTTGGTGTATAGGTAAAGATGAGTCTTATTTTTACTTGACATAGGATGAATCTATACTTGGTCTATAGCTTGAATTTATACTTGAGTCTATATATACAGCTTTATACTTGAGTCCATACATAAAGATTATACTTGAGTTCATATATCAACAATTAGTGTTTATAAATGAGTATAAGTAGACATAAGTCATGTTTATACTTGAGTCTATAAGGAGACATATTTCATGTTTATATATTGAGTCTATAGGGAGACATTTAATGTTTGTATTTAACTCTACAAGGAGACATATTTCATGTTTATACTTAAGTGTATAAGGAGACATATAAAAGGTATTATCTCACCGATAAAGTAAGATGGGCCAAAAACTAAAAGATAAAAAGGCTTGCAACGAAAAATCTGACGTTGGTTACAAGCGAAGTCTTCCTTGGAACGGTAACTAAAGGCAAATGACTAGTACCACTCGGCACTCTCCTCTGCGTAACAAGCGACCTCTACAAACGTTCTGCAAAGAAAAAGAACTCAATTTGCGACTGAAAGTAGCAGCATTTAAACTCTCAAGGTCTCGTTCAACGTCATACGACGAGGCCACAGCGTCTATAAAAATCATCAATCCCTTGGCCCTGGTTAGGCTCGGGAGAAAAATTACCATTTTAGACGCCGCCAGAGCACATACTTAACCCCCCACCCCACCAGACCTACCCTCGGTATAAAACAATACCTTGTTGATTTTTTTAGTGGGAAAAAATATTTCATGTTTATATTCAAAAGAAATATAGGATGACATTTAATGTTTTTAATTAACTTTGAAAAGACCTATTTTATGTTGATAAAATTTGATTTTTATATTTGAGCCTATAGGGGAGAAGCGAAATGTTTATACTTGAGTCTATAAGGAGACATATTTCATGTTAATATTTGAGTCTATAGGGAGACATTTAATGTTTGTACTTAACTCTACAAGGAGACCTATTTTATGTTTATACTTTAGTCTATACGGAGACATATTTCATGTTTATACTTGAGTCAATAAGGAGACACATTTCATGTTTATACTTGAGTCTATAGGGATACATATTTCATGTTTAAACTTGAGGCTATAGGGAGACATATTTCATGTTCATACTTGAGTCTATAAGGAGACATATTTCATGTTAATATTTGAGTCTATAGGGAGACATTTAATGTTTGTACTTAACTCTACAAGGAGACCTATTTTATGTTTATACTTTAGTCTATAGGGCGACATATTTCATGTTTATACTTGAGTCAATAAGGAGACACATTTCATGTTTATACTTGAGTCTATAGGGAGACATATTTCATGTTTTTAAACTTGAGGCTATAGGGAACATATTTCATAATTTATTTTTGAGTCTATAAGGAGACATATTTCATTTTATATTTGAGTCTATAGGGAGACATTTAATGTTTGTACTTAACTCTACAAGGAGACCTATTTTATGTTTATACTTTAGTCTATAGAGCGACATATTTCATGTTTATACCTGAGTCAATAAGGAGACATATTTCATGTTTATATTTGAGTCTATAGGGAGACATTTAATGTCTATACTTGACTGTATAAGGAGACATATTTCATGTTTATACTTAAGGCTATAAGGAGACATAAGTCGCATTTATGTGTGAGTGTATAGGAAAACATGTCTCGCTTATACTTCAAGTATAAGTAGACAGGTCATGTTTATACTTTAGTTTATAAATAGACATAACTCCAGTTTAAATTTGACTTTAGAAGTAAACATAGGTCATGTTTATACTTGAGTCTATAAATATGAATATCTTGTATTTATACGTGAGTCTATGTGTAGACATAGGTTACGTTTATATACAGTCATCGGTCGTATTTATTTGTGAGTATACTTCAGAACTATAGGTATGCATAGTTAGAGTTTGGTTAGAGTGATTCGTTTTTACGGCTTATCAAACTTTGCAGGTTATTTAAAGCCAGAAAATATTTTTAGATTGTTAGATGTTTTTGTAGATAATAATGGTTTTAGTGATAAAAGTCTTACTAATTAAACCAGTGGTTCCTAAACATTTTTTCCTCTTGGCCGCATTTTCGGAATTAAAATTCTTCGAGCCTCACCGAATTTTATGCGATAAAAAAGTACATAAAAAAGTTAAAGGAAAATAACCGCAGATTCGAAGTCAGGACATTATTATTGATAACTCTCTCCTCCAATTTGCGGACCCTAGTTACGATATTCTTAATACCTGATATAATGCTAAAATATCACAATGATAAAATCTGTCAATAATTATTTATAACTATTTATACTGGAACTCAGGCATGCAATTACAAGTAATCCATAATAATCTTTGAAATTTTGAAATCATATTTATTTTTGGCATATGATTTTTTTGAAACTGATTCTAAATCTCCGATAGTCTTTCAATCGTTAAGCCTCATTTGCTATCCTCTACCGCCTCACCTGCTATCCTCTTCCGCTTTACCCGCTATCCGCTTCCCCTCACTAGTTATCCTCTTCCGCCTCACCTGCTAACCTCTTCCCTTTTACCTGCTATCCTCTAACGCCGGACCTGCTTATATTTCCGCACACCTCTATTTTCTATCAATTCTTTTCATTTATTATTCCCCTGAGAAACCCTCTTCTGCCGCTCCTGCTATCCTCTTTCGCTGCACTATTTATCCTCTTCCGCACACCTTCTATCCTCTATCGCCTCAAATTTGAAGAGCGCTATTACTTTGATTTCCGCCCCCACCATTGTTGAGTCAAGGAAAACTCATTCTATCGCCTCATCCTAAATCTTCAAATATATTTTCTATCCGCTGTCGTCGTTACTAAACCTTTTTCAAATAAGGTCTTCGTCCAGTGCGAATATTTAATCTCCTCTGTCGCCTGCCAACCTGCGATATCCTCAAATAAATCGCCTTTCGTTCAGGTAGGATAAACAACGATCTTCCGCCCCATCTGCTATCTTCAATTCTGAGAATCATAAGAAAAAAAGCTCTCCAATTCCACAATAATATCGCCTCACCTGCCCCATCCTCACAAATTAAATCGCCGTGCCATTCTGGTTATGATAAAAAGCCCTATACGGTTTCATTTTCCGATCCCTATTTGAAGATTTATACCCTTTTATATCATTTCGCCTCACCTGCTCTCCTCTATCGCCTCACCTGCTATCCTCTATCGCATCACCTGCTATACTCTTCCGCCCCACCTGCAATCCTCTTCCGCCGCAGCTGCTATCCTCTTCCGTCTCTACTGCAAACCTCTTCCACCTAATGTAGGTCCTCTTCCACGTCACGTATGAGGCGCGTGCCCGGCTGGTAACCATCGATTTAAATGGTAACGTTTATTGGTGTATGAATGTAACTGTGGTACGAATTTAGATTATAATGATAGATCGATAATTACCGTTGATTTTTAAGAAATCGTGTTTCGTTTTCGTTCAGGTAGGATAACACCGATCGACAAACGCCTGAAGATGGCCGAAGGGTACAATGCTTGAAATATTGTGATAATAACAACAAACATGAGGACAATAGTCTGAGAATAAATAATCTAAATTATGCTTAATTATCCAAACAAAGCAATTCCACCCGAAATATTCGCTTTCGATAAGCGGATTTTGCGTCCACAACACCCCCCCCATTCGCTCACAAATTAAAGTCTTATTCTCTCTATACGCATGAAGATGATAAAAAGCCCGTAAATTATGCTTACGGTCATCATTTATAGAGGTAGGTTTTATTCTTCAGATGATTCTATTTGAATTGAAGGGATGCCATAGGTATTTGTCAACAAAGTTGTTTATGATATTTCGAAAATGAAAATTTCAGAGGGGTCTTATATCATACAAGCCTCGATTTGAACCGGGGGTTAATTGCTTGACTCCAGAGATCGTTGCGTCTCTCTCTGGCTGCTAATCTTTTCCAAAGGGTCACCGTAGCATTAGAATCCGGCTATTTTTGTCACGCATGCGTAGTTCAGATTCTGAATCGTTCGCCATATCAATTGTCCCTGCGAAGCGTGACAGTGGAGGGTTAACTCGGCCAAGACACGAGAACAAGCAAGATGGTTCAAACTTCGTTACGATGAAATAGTTAAAAAAAAAAACCCCAAAACAAACATCCCTTTTCTCCAGAGGGTCAAGATGGATTTTCAGGGTAGGGAAGTGCCAAACAACGGGAATTCCCAAACAAATTTATTGACGCAATAAACAAACTTTCTTCCTTTACGAGCTGGGGCGGTCATGACTCTCTACAACTTCCAGTATATTGTTCTAAATTAAGTGTCCCTTTTTGTTTTCTTCTCCCATCCATTCAAACAAACTAGTGTTTTTGGACAATATTGTTGACAAAAGAAGGATGTCAGGGATTACAAAATCATCTTTTTCCTCACAAAACTGCTTTTTTTCCAATTAATTCACCCTGTTTCTCTTGCCTTCAATACGCACGGTGTTCAATAAATAAAAGGCTCAAGAGCCACTCAAAGAATATTTTAGAGAATTTAAGACATTCAAGACATATAGGAAGCAGGAGGGTGAGGAAAACAAAGGATGCTCCAAGATGACCTCTCTCTCTTTGTGTTCTTGGGAGTGAAAACACAAACGAGTAATTTACTTGATGAGCTTTAGTGAATAGATGGTCAAAGAGTAGGGGTAGGAAGGGATGGCAAAATGGGGTCAGGATGGATTGTCGAATAGGGAGAGAGGGAGTAAGAAGGGATGGCCAGAGGGGGCCAGAATGGATGGACAAAAGGGGGGTGGGGGGATTGGGGACAGATGGATGATTAAAAAGGAAGGGGAGGAAGGGATGGCCAGAGGGGGTCAAGATGGATGATCAAAGAGGGAGGGAAGGAGGGAGGAAGTAAGAAGGGATAGCCAGAGAGGGTCAAGATGGATGATCAAAGAGGGAGGGTGGGAGTAAGAAGGGATGGCCAGAGGGGTGCAAGATGGATGATCAAAGAGGGAGGGAGGAAGTAAGAAGATTTGGCCAGAGGGGGTCAAGATGGATGATCAAAGAGGGAGGGAAAGAGGAGACAGGGAATGTAAGAAGGGTTGGCCAGGATGATCAAAGATGGATGATCAAAGAGGGAGGGAGGGAGGAAGTAAGAAGGGATGGCCAGAGAGGGTCAAGATGGATCAGGGAGGGTGGGATTAAGAAGGGATGGATTAAGATGGATGATCAGGAGGAATTGGGAGTAAAAATAATTAAAAGAAATTTGGCCAGAGGGGGTCAAGATGGATGATCAAAGAGGGAGGGAAAGAGGGAGGAAGTAAGAAGGGATAGCCAGAGAGGGTCAAGATGGATGATCAAAAAGATGGAGGGAGAGGGGATGGATGATCAAAGGGATCCTTTGGGGAAGAAGGGATGGCCAGAGGGGTGCAAGATGGATGATCAAATGGATGATGGGGGGAGGGGAGGAGGAAGTCAAGATGGATGAAGGTTTGGCCAGAGGGGGTCAAGATGGAGTTTGATCAAAGAGGGAGGGAGGAAGTAAGAAGGGATGGCCAGAGGGGGTCAGGATGGATGATCAAAGAGGGGAGGGGGTAAGAAGGGATGTCAGAGGAGTCAGAATGGATGGTCAAAGAGGAGTTAAGAATGGATGGAAAATAAGGTGGGGTAAGAATGGGTGGTCAAGAGGGGGATAAGAACAAAGAAGGAGTAAGAATGGATGGTCAAAGAGCGGGGTGTCTGAATGGCTGATCGAAGAGAGGATAAGAATGGAAAGTAAAAGAAAGGTTCAGAATGGAAGCTCTGACAGGAGATAGGAATGAAAGGTCGAAGAAGAGGTAAGAATGGATGGTCAAAGCGAGGTAAAATGGATGGTCAAATATAGGGTCATAATGGAAGGTAGAAGAGATAGTAAGAATCGATGATCAAAGAGAGGTTCAAAATGAACGTTCAAAGAGGTGCTAAAATTGATTTTCCAAGAGAACGGATGACTGGAACAATTACAGAACACCACAAAACAGAGGAAAATGTGGAGTGCCATGTTTCCCCACATTCTGAAAGAATATTTATCTGACTGAAAACTGTTGAAATAAGTTGGGATTATTTTTCTCGACACACGATAGATCCTGGAAATCAAGTGGAAAAGAAATGATCCCTTGACACTTACCTGTCAAATAAATAAAACAAAACATTAATCTATCTACTAAATTTTCTGTGCAGCTACTGTGGGATTTACCGTTAAATATATTTTCTATACAGGTAGGCGGATACATACGAAAGTGTCGCGTCTTTGCTCCAGGTAAGAAAAATGAAGTAAAAACACTAGGGAATTAAGAAGTGTTAAATTACTAATGAATATGCGAAAAATAAGGTACATTTACCGTTAAATATATAATTATATTAACTTTCTTTTTCTTTCTGCTAGCCGGACATAAGGACAGAAGGATATATCTCTTATAAAAATGGTATTTCAGGTCAAAAATAATAATAATAAAAATAATAATAATAGACTGAGAGTTCGGCCATATTGTCTGAGGATGTTTGGAACTAGCAAAAAAATGAATATACTCACAGGCATAACAAGGTAGCGACATATGTGCAGTGGAAGATATGCAAGAAGCACAAAATCGAAACCACTGAGAGATGGTATGAGTAGCAACCAAAAACAGTTACCCAAAATGAGGATGTAACTATCTTCTGGGGCATGCCAATTCCAACTGACAGGGAAATAAAAGTCAACAGACCGTATATTATCATAAAAGACAAGAAATTCAAGAAGTGTATGCTTATTGACATAGCAGTACCATCCGAGAGAAACACCTCTATAAAAATTATCGAGAAATTGTCTAAATACAAGAATCTGGAGATCGAAATTAACAGGTTGTGTGGAGTGAAGACTGATACTGTACCAACAGTAATTGCAGCGCTGGGCCTCATGAGAAAAAGAATGGACAATTTTACTAACAGTGTCCTATGTAACATCAACATACAAGTTGCCCAGAAGATCGCTGGACTACGAACATCCCATATACAAAGAAAAGTGCTATCAATTAAATGACAATTTTCCTATAGGATGTAAGGACCCGACTGTACAGGATACAAAGCAGGGAACATAACATACACAAATAATAATAATAATAATAAAGTGCCTCCTTATTGATATGGCAGTCCCTGCTGACTGCAATGTATCTTTGAAGATATTCAAAAAGCTGTCAAAATACAAGGACCTTGAAATCGAAATCTCAAAAATGTGGCACATGGGAACATCAACAATCCCTGTTGTAGTTGGAGCCCTAGGACTGGTTGGAAAAGATTGCAGTAGACTAATTGAAAGATTCCTGGAAGTCCATACCCCAAGGAGATACAAAAAATTGTTCTCACAAGTACACTTCACGAAGGGCTTTATCTATGTAATATATATATATATATATTTTTTTTTTGTCAGTAGAGAGTGTCATGATGCCATTTCTAACCTTATGTCCCTGGGCGGGACCCGGAAAGAAATGTGTAAACGCCAGAAATCAAAAAAAAAATAAAATAATAATAATAATAATAATAATAATAATAATAAAATGGTCCTGGAAAATTGCAGGAAAGAGGTAAAAATCTCAACAGAGCTTGGATAGATTACCGTAAAGCCTTTGGTGGAGTGCCATATTCTTGGATCCTTTAGGCTTTTGAAATGTACAAAGTCTCCTTGGTGATGGTAAATTTCCTTAAGTATAGCATGGAACTATGAAAAAGTAACATTCAAGAAAAGGAAAATTACAGAAGAGGAATCTGGGATATACACAAAAAAAGAAATGTTCCCCTGAAATTTACCTGTCAAAAAAATAAAAATTAAAAAAAGCATTAATTTTTCTGCTAAATTTTCTGCGCAATTACTGTGGGATTCACTATTGAAGATATTTTCCACACAGGTAGGCGAATGCATGCGAAAGGTCGTGTTTTGGCCCCAGGTAAGAAAAAGGAAGTAAAAACAACAGTGAAATTACAAGATTGGATGGTTGAAGAGGGCATAAGAATGGATGGTCGCAGACTAATCAATATAGAATGGATGATAGAAAATTAAGAAGAATGGATGGTTAGACAGATGGTAGGAATAAATGATCAAAGAGGGGGTGTGAATGAATGGAGGAAGAGGGGTTAGAATAGATGGTCAAAAAAGGGTGTAAGAGGGTGTGAGAATCGATGGTTGAAGATTGGGGTAAGAATGCATGGTTGAAGAGGTCGTATGAATGGAATGGTCAAATAGGATGTAAGAATTGGTGGTTGAAGAGGCAGTAAGAATAGATGGTAAAAGACAAGTTTAAATGGATCATTAAAGAAGG